CAACAGAAAACAGATGGTCTCCGCACTCCATCTTGACAGTCACAAGGCACATAACACCCTCAATGTCACCTTCTGTGGAGAAAAAGGGCACCACAACCCAACTCCTACCTACCTGGGGGTGACCCTTGACCACTCCCTAACCTACCATTGTCACCTCTGAAAGACTGCCGTGAAAACAAAGGCATGAGTGAACATCATCCAAAAGCTCACCAGCACAAGCTGGGGTGCAAAAGCTGCCATCCTCTGCAATTCTGCCATAGCCCTAGTCTTCTCAACAGCTGAGTACTGTGCACCTGTCTGGGCCTCAAGTCAACATCCCAAACTCATCGACACACAACTCTACTCAGTAATGAGGTCTATCTCTGAAACTTTGATACCAACCACAATGCAGTGGCTACCCGTACTTTCAAACCTTACTCCTTTCTCTGTTCCATGGGATGCAGCAACATACAGAGAAATAATGCATACCAATAGTAATCCTGACCTTCCCATCCACAGAGACCTTCAAGATCTCCCAACTCATCACATGATTTCACAAAAACTTTTTTGGCCACAAAGCCAGCACCTCACACTGAAGAATTTTGGAGGAAACAAACACCTTGCCTCCAACCCAACAGTGCAATAGCTGGGCTTCAACCTTCCACAGGGCATGTGGGCAACCCTTAATAGTATACGCATTGGACATGGCCAGTGTGGCCACCTGATGTACAAGTGGTGCCTAAAAACTTTGCCTGGCTGTGACTGTGGAAACCCTGACCAAACCATGGAGCACATAATAACATCCTGCCCCAGATACAAGTCTGAAGGCAACATCCTGGAGTTACACTCACTTTCCAGCAAGGCATTGGTCTGGTTGGGGAACTTGGAATTAAAAATGTGACAATAGCTCTTGCTCCTAAAGCCATACGAAAGAAAGAAAGAAAAGATTCTCTGACCATTTATTCTCCTTTTTTATTTAAGGTCCCAAGACCTGCCTGTATTGCATCTAAGTGTCTTGTGGTCACAAAGCTCCCTGATGTTTCCTCCCTCAACCTGCGCCAGTTGGATGCTCAGCTGGAAACCGTGTCATAATGTCAGAGCTGTGGCCACACTAGATAGCATATGTGCTTCGCTGCAATATATTTCCTGTGTTGTAGGAACTCAGCTGTAGTTAAACGTCATAGAAAATTAGAAAATTAGGATTAGCAGGAACCCTAGGACATCATCTAGTCCAATCCCCAAGATCTTCAGTTGATATAAAATCATATAGATCTACTGAAGCCAATAGAGCTCTGCCAGTTTATGCTATCTGGGGTTGGACCCTTATTTCTTGATTGGGGACTAGCCTCTTGACTCTTGTTGCCCTTCTCAGCATTATTCAAAGATTTTTCATTAATATGTTATGGCTGTCTCTTTTCTTGCCTCAGAGAATCACAAACATATCAGGCCAGGAGGAACAAGAGGAGCATGTGTCATGAACAACTTATAAATGTGCATACTAATTATTATACTGTCAGCTGGAAGTCTCTGGAGTAGGCTGTATGCTCCACATAGATAGGGAGCGGCCACACACTTTCAGTCTGAGCAAGCATTACAAACATGAAGTGTCCATGAGACAGAGTCCATTTGTACAGCTGGCCATACTGCGGTGAAACCATCTCCCAAAAGGCTCCGTTCCTTGATGTATACAACAACACATGATAATATTTAGCCTCCATATAATGCTTTACATTTTGATATCTCTGTGCAATCATTAACTAACCCACCTTCCTAACCTTGCTGTGAGGTGTGTAAATACTATTATCTCTGTATCTTGGACTTAATCAAGGTGGGGAGACAATGGATCATGTTCTCAGAAAGTGTTGTCCTCAAGTGCACCCAGCACACAGTACAGCTGCTTCTGCTTGCACACACCTATAAGTAAATAAATGCATAAATGAGGCAGTGAAGCATTTCTGTGATTACCTCCTGCTGCCACTCTCAAAGTCTCCCCCTCCCCCATATTTGAGAGTGGTGGCAGGGGCAGCACCAGGGCAGCTTCATTCCCTCCTTTCCAAGGTTGGCACCTGTAATAGGAAGTAATCATTAGGGCTGTGCGAAGCTTCGGTCCCCGATTTGATTTGGTGGAGATTTGGCCCAATTCGGTGGCCGAATCTCCAAACCTGAATCGAATCAGAGGCCCCTTTAATCTCTCTGAATCGAATCAGAAAGATTCAGCGATTTGGATATAGACACAGCTTTAAATGTTTTTCGACATACTTCTAGGTACCAGGTGGCTCGTGAGTGCTGTGATGCTGGGGCACGTGGAGTGTCCCACAGAAGCACGGGGGGCTCCTCAGCGCGCTCAGTGGTGAATCCGGAAGTGGGCCAGAAGCATTTCCGGTCCACTTCTGGGTCTGCTGGGGAGTGCATTGCCCCCCCGTGCCACCCTGGCTTGGTGACTGGTGCCTCCTGGATCTGGGAGGACACCTGGGGTCCCCCCCTGGCCAATCGCTGAGCCAGAAGGCTGCAGGTGGTGGTGGGGGGGCGGTGTGCGTCCCCTGGTGGACCCGGAAGTGGACTGGAAGTACTTCTGTTCCATTTCTGGGTTCACCACCAAGCACATGGAGGGTCCCCCCGCACTCCTGCGGGACACTCCATGCGCCCCACCATTGCAGTGATCACAAGCCGCGCATGCTACCTCAAGGTTTGTAGAAAAAACATTTAAAGCTGTGTCTATGGCCAAATTGCTGATTCTCTGAATCAGCATCAAATCTTCATGTTTGGATTCAGCTGAATGAAATCAGGGACAGTGATCTAAATCAACTAATCAAATCACTGTCCCTGATTCAGGCTGAATCCAAATCCGAAACGAATAGGGGCTGCTTCACACACCCCTAGTAATCATGTAGGGCATGACTGAGAGTGGTGCTCTCTGGGAGAGAAACAGGATAGACATGTTCAATGAGTCATTAGCAGAGGCCTAGGGTTTGGATTCAGGGCCACCCTGCTCCCACAGCTGGGCTCAAGTCCCTTTTCCCAGTGCTTCCTAGCGCTATCATCATTAAAAAATCTGCAGGCCAGTTAACACCAATTCTTTAAGACCAGTGATATTCTCATTTGCACCCATACAACCTGCTTGTCTTCACATTGTGCCCTCAAAGATAATCTGCATGGTGTCATTATTAGTTAAGGGGTTTATACATGTGGAGTGCAGCAAGCAACTGTCCTGATGATGCACAAACAGAAACTAAACCAAATCTCAACTGTGTTGGCCTTGCAGGACTAACAGGACCAAAAAGTACTAACAACTATAATCAGTAGGTATGAATGCAATGTACATGGGGAACAGATCCAGCAGTTATGATAATGTCTTTTCTGACCACAAGTGGTTTTGAACGTTAAGGTGTGTGGTTAATCATTTCATAATACACACACAAAGCAGAATCTTAATGCTTCTCTGCCTGGCTGGAAAATCAATATCCACTATCTGCCTGTGCCCTTTGCTCACCTTTACCGCACCCCAGATAATTCAAAAGGAAAAGAGAGGCAAACAAGGACATTTCTACATGCTTTTTTCCTCCCTTTTGCTTTCTTCCTGTGCAGTTAAATTTTACCCTACATGCTCAGCTCTTACCTCTGGGGATTCAAGTTTGAAATCCTACTTTGTCCTCTTCAGGTTCCATGCCTGTCTCAGACATTTCCTGCTGGTACCTTCTGTACATGCTCTGAAACACTTTCTATCAGAGATCTTTGTGGTTTAGTTTAGAGATATTTATTCATTTTCACTTTCTATTCTAAGCTATTACTCAATGTTATGGTTAGGCAGAAACTCTGGTCTGCAGTCCTGTTAGATGACAGACTGTAACTCTGCAGGATACCATTACATCTGTAGTTATTAGTAAGGGTAACATCTGTAAACTTAGTCTGGAATAGAGTCCTGAGTAACTGTTCACCCCAGCTGTTCTCTTCTTACTCAAATCAGGTTCTGGTCCAGGAGACCTTGGGGCAGTGTAATAATAGGTATTTTTTTCCTTTTCCAGAGTTCAGTTTAGGACACTGGGAAAACATGTGACCATGCTATGATTGGGAGAACTCCAGTCGGTTCCTTTTTTAATTCTTTCCCTTTCTCTACAGGATGAAATTATGTTGACTCCCTGGAGAGAATTTCCTATACAAGAATTTGATGTCTTGGTCCCAGTAAGTTACATTCATTCTGTCCAGTGGTGGAGAATTCAAAGTGTGATCACCACAGCCCTGTGTGACATCAAAATGCAGAACCAGGCTCTGATCCAGTTTCATAGATTTTATAGATTTTAGGGTCAGAAGGAACCTATGAGATCATTGAGTCTGATCCGCTGCCCTGTGCAGGAAAGGGTGCTGGGGTCAGATGACCCCAGCTAGATGTTTGTCCAATCGCCTCTTAAATACCTCCAAGGAAGGGAACAGCACCACCTCCCTTGGAAGCATATTCCATATTTTGGAAACCCTCACTGTAAATAATTTTTTCCTGATGTCCAGTCTAAATTTGCTATCCTTCAGTTTGTGGCAATTATTTCTAGTTACCCTGATAGGCATCCTGGTAAACAGAATATTCCCTATTTCCTGCTGTTGTTCCCCCCCCCCCCCAAA